GAGTTTAGGCCCAGACACGGCTAGTGACGTCAGACTTAACGACCGGATTTGGACAAAAAGTCAAATTTCCAGGAATCCTAGAATCCCGGGCTAATGTTAATCCCATCCAAATTGACTCATTTTCATGGTTAATTCAAACAGAGTAACATTGAAAACATCACCCCCTGTGGAAATGTTTGCACAGCTTAAACTATAATCCACTTTAAATTAGTTTGGAACAGCTGAGATATTACAGTAAGTAGTTGCTGTCTGCAGTGCCTTACAGGATGGCCACAGACGAGGTTTAAAATGCTTGAGAGACTCGTTAAACCGTCACAGATGTACTTGGTGCAAGGAAAGAAGCAGGAGAGAGATTATGACATATACCCAATGCCACATTTCCTAACCAAAAACTTGCAGCACGTAGCAGTGGTATAATATGAAATGTGAAAGCAAGGTGAAAATGAAAGAAAGCACTGAGGAGGCAGACTGTAAACATGTCATTCCCTCTGGATTAAGCAGCAGTCAGTTTTGACCTGCAGATATCTCCCCCCATGCACTTGTGAGGATATTTTTTAAAGTGCTGAAGCGTAGGGGAGCTTTAATGTTTGATGTAACACAGCAAGAGCAAGAAGAGAGAAAGAAAGAATTTCCCAAGTTGCTGAGTCTTTGTGCAAAAGAGAAAGCAATTCTTCCCAGTCACTGTTTCATTTTCCTCCTCAGAGAAGAATCTTAACCCACTTAGACTGGGAAACAGCGCATGTGCTGCTGTTAAAAACAACACTGAGCCCACAGAGAAGAAACTCCCAGAGTTTCCTTTCCTATTCCCCTTCAAGATCACAGAGTTCCAGCTCACCTCTGATATGTTCATCTCCTCCATCTCGGCCAGGGTCGGGGCCTTGAGCAGGATGCGAGGACGGGATGGTGGCCGGGGTCCGGGCTCCGACACGGATAGGTCGATGCATGAAGTGGATTTGACATTGCAGGGACACGTCTGAGCCAGACAGGGCAGAGAGCCAAATGCTGAGGGAAGAGAAACCAGAAACCAGAAAATCTCAGGTGTGCTGAGATCAGAAGGGAGTAATCAGACGCACCCTGTGTACCACTTTGGAGTCAGGGCAATGAAGCAGCTCCGCCTTATTCCATAAGTTGCACAAAGGTTCTGTTTTCAGTTTTGTTCATATTGTCAGAAAGGGTTAATATTCATAGGCAATGATGGTGTACATGACTGTGATACATTTAAAAGTGTTACTGATATTTTCTCCTCATCCTACTATGCTGCATATGGTGGGAAATTCCGGATGTGTTGTGCATGTTTGCAATAACGTAAAAACTACCTACACACAGGTAGTCTATCACGAACTTCCAAGAACAGCAAATTCTTGGTGAGGACTCAGTGAAAAGCTCCAGGCCAGAGCAAAGCCCTGGCACCAAACTCATAATTTTGACAGTCCCCTTCTGAGCCAATTCTGAAATTGCTCTTCCTTGATTCAAAATACAAAAAACCCCCAAAAAAACAACAAAATTTAAAAAAAAAAAAAAACAGCCAGTGGTTACAAACAATGACATGAGACGTGCTGTTCTGATGTAATATTATGGCTCAATTTGCCCTAAACCACCTGCCACAAACCTCAGTGAATCATGTTAACTGTGATTAATTT